TACATAACTGCCTGACACATATCTTCATTTCAATTGGGAACGAGGTTTCCGTGTTGGGGCTGACACGTCTTTTCCTGTGTGTTGCTTTGGTCGGTGCAGTGCCTCCCGATTTTATTACCTTCAAATATGTGGGGGCTTACGTCACAAAACCAAGATACGATTTTGACAGACGCCGTAGAGGAGGGCTCCGGAAATTTAGACCGTTTGGTGTTCTTTAACTTGCACCAAGATCGCAAAGTAAACGGGCTCCTACCGTTTCACGTCCATCGATATGTGGCCGCCATGGCTGGGATCGAACCAGCGACCTTCGGGTCACTGGCAGCTGAGCATGATGAGAATGACGAAGTACGCCAATAGGGGTTCCACTTGAGTTAGTCTAAGATATTGAACGTGCTGGTGCGGTTTGAAACGGGGAGAGTTCTGAGAGCGCTGTGGTTCTCAGGTGCCGCCGGCGTTCTAGTGTCGGCCAATCGCATCCTGACCAAGGCGCTACTTCGAGACGAGAGGCTCAACACGCTACTCTTCTTCCTCGTCTCGGTCACCGTGGTCATGCTCTGCTTCGTCATCCACCTGGTGCTGCATCGAACCAGGCAAGTAAAATTTCAAATGTTTACCAAGTGAGAACGCTGCGAATTCAACGAAGTAAAGATTGCACCAACTCTGAGCAGTAGGCTTTTAAGATTAAGGCCGCAACGAGAACATGAAAACCGTTGCTCCGAGGGTCACTTTTTGATATTGCAATTATGGAAAGGTGCACTTATGGGGATTTCTAAAGAGAGCACGTGCCTACTATACTTTGGTGTAGCTCTGCTATGCTTGAAGACACAGGTTCGAATCCCAGCCGCAGCGGTGGCAATTCAACAGGGGTGAAAATGCAAAGGTGCTCGTGCATTTTCGGAATCAAGCCTTCTAAGACTCGCTGAAGATTGTATATAATGATTTCCACAACAAGGTTTAGGACAGCCAAATATGCGGCAAGTGAGCACTGACCAAAAAGAGTGACGGGTAATTTCTTTTTGAATAGAGTGTCTAATAAGCTTTGAGGAAAAAAGAAAAAGAAAAGTGTGCGTGCATAACATCCACTAGCCCAAATGTATTAGAAAAATTGATTATCTTTTTCTTCTTATTTAAATTGATCTCTAAGGCTATCAAACTGGAGCACATTATTAGAGCATTAGACTTTTTTTCTTTTCTTTACTAACAAATTCAACATACTCTAACGAAGATTTCCAAACTATCTATTACTTAACCTTTTTGATATTATGAACACATTTTTTATTATATGCCAAGGCACCGCTCGTTTTATGCCCGATCCCGCATGGTTGGTTGCGTCAGGAAAAAGGGTCAATCAATCAATCAATCAATCAATCAATCAATCAATCAATCAATCAATCAATCAATCAATCAATCAATCAATCAATCAATCAACCTGCTCCGAATCCGCTTGATCCTCGTGCTCGTGCCTCATTTCCCGTGATGCTCCTGTTTTATTTCTTTTTTTTGTGTGTGGGTGGAGTCCTGAAGAAAAACAAATATTGACGAACGTGTGCGCCTATCGTCTGAAATCCAACATACTCAGACTTTCTTCCCCCTCGAATTATCAATTACCAGCATGCTCAAGTTTTATTTTTTTATCACTGGGCTTCATATTTCTCCCGTTACGCTCTCTCCTTGTTTTTTTTTTTTTTCACTGAATGATAGTAAGACATGGTTAATAGCCTCAGCAGACAGGGCTAGGGAGCGACATGGGAGAACGCTTTAATTCAACCAATTTCGTTAGAAAATCAACATGCAACCGCATAAAATAAATAACGTCCTCGATTCTTAACCACCCGATCGCGTTATGATTGTGCAAAATAATAAAAAACCGAGCTCCTCTTGAACATACAAGTTCCTGTACGATGCGGCCAAAGGATATCTACGATTTTTCTTCAATAGATAAAGCTTCGAAGATAGGAAATGCACAAGAATACCCTTGACATTGGCGGTCGTTTTTTTGTTGGTCATTATTTCGCTGCGTTTCAAGTAAGCCAGTGCCATTTAGACCAACTCTCCACCTTCTTAGCAACCACAGTTTTGTGAGGATCTAGGTGCCCGAGCAAGGTGTCAAAGCGTACCCAGACGGCGGGAACATATGTACAATCGAGGTGGTGAGGAGATGCATCTATGAAGAGAAAGGGCAAGGGTGGTGCGTGTACAAAGAAAGCTCATTCACATGTGGAAATCACACTTCAAATAAAAAAAATGGTGATATTCATTCGAGGCTTCAAGACTTTAATGAGGTTGTTTTACGATAAGGTTCATGTAAATTCGCAAAGCTGATTAGAGTAATAGGGAAACGCTAGTAGGGGGTCTAAGGGAGCAAGTAAATAGGCGAAACATCAATTTGCATAAGAAATCACAACATTATTCGAAGGAAACTCTAATTAAGGAGAGGAAACAAGAGTATATGTAAGATTTCATTGGAATTCAAGATGACGTGGTGCATAAACCATACGCAGGATAGCACATACATCACTCTAATCATACGACGCTGTTTCCACTGTGTTCAGTCGCGCTTAATATGAGTTGCGACACTCTGTCTGTACTCAAAATGGCGCCAACACTGCACAGTGGCGCCTAAGCAGAAAAAAAAAACCGGTGAGTTAAACTCTCTTAAATAGTGGTACCTTCTGAACCTATTTAGCATTTGGCAGTGCGAATGATCAGGATTAGGATCACTTTAAACACACCGAGAGTGTTGAAACTCATATTAAGTACGACTGTACATCATTATGTGAGAAAAACAAGTACAAGCGAAACAACAAGCTATGCCTAAAGTTTTGTGCATACTTATATCTTATTGCACGTCATTGAGCTAACATTTATTCAAGTCTAACACTGTCTGAGAGGTTAGCGGACGGGAACATCCACACACTCGGTTCTTGCCTTGCGAATAAAAACGCTTCCTGTATTTCGCGTGCCATCTTATCCCATATCTTGCCTTCACTTGGCTATCACCGAACATGGCGGGGCACCCACACAGGGTGCAGTGACTTTGCCAAGTGACTGCCCACAAATCAACGCATGAGAATCGCGCGCTTTCTGAACGGTCATTCAGACAACGCCCCGCCCGGACAGTGTAGCATTGACCATAGGACAAAATATAACACAGAATTTCCATAACCATCTCCACACACTTCATCGCATGCTACTTATTGCAACCAACACTTCAGATTTCGCTCTCTTGTAAACAGATCCCCCTAGGGTATATATGTTCCCGCCATCTGAGCAACAAACTGGTTGAAAGTGTGTGCTCTGTCCTGTGTGGCTTGTTTCCTCTAGTGTTTTGTAGACAAAAGAAAGTTTTCCGATTAGAATTACGTGCAGGGTAGGTAATCTTTTGTGACGTGCCGGGTCACTGATACGGAAGACTTCTGAAGGGCCCCTAAAGAACCTCTTCGAAGCAAAACTGAATACAAGTTCATCATTCTTTCGGGGCGCAGTTCGTCTTTACGGCGCACTTGGTGACGCCAGAACGGTGACGTCATTTGGAGAATACTCTCGTCGTTAGGGCACACGTGCAATTCCCGGCTGCGGCGGCTGCATTTCCGATGGAGGCGGAAATGTTGTAGGCCCGTGTACTCAGATTTGGGTGCACGTTAAAGAACCCCAGGTGGTCAAAATTTCCGGAGCTCTCCACTACGGCGTCTCTCATAATCAAATGGTGGTTTTGGGACGTTAAACCCCACAAATCAATCAAATCAGGGCACACGTGCATACACGCACAAACTCGCACACACAGACACAACACAAGCCACAAACGCACACTGGGCGCACACACAGAACGATTGAACAAACGAGTTCAGATTTTTCGGAAATGAGAGAAGTCAGGTCTCTGTTCAATGTCTTCGCGATTCTGTAGCCGCGCACACCCTGAAATGGTTAAAGACACTGTTTAGGAGAGTATTAAAAGATAGTCAATATAATTTACTTTTTAATTAGTGAGTTGAGTGGTTGTGTCAAACGTGAAAGTTGAAGTCATTCATGCGAAGAACCCATTGCAACTTCGAAATTTTGAAAAACAAGCCTCCGCTAATAACTGCGAAGTACTAAAATACAAACAAATTCATTGGTGAATATCTTGTTCTTGTTGACCTTCACTTGTGGCTAATACCCACTGTGGGGGATTGGCCAATGACTAGTGGTGTCATAAATTATTATTCGATCTTGGAGTAAAGAAACTTATAAAATTTATATAAACACACATAATTACAAATTTTAGAACTAAATTTTTACGCTCACTCAGCTGTACCTACTATAAAGTATTTGTATTAGTAATAGATAATAACCTTGATCAAAACCTAACTTGAAAAATATGTTATGCGCAAGTCGACACAGAAGGACAATAATTTAGATTAGTTCGTTAGTATCTTGATTTCATTCAGATGATTCTGCACTGCCTTGCAAACTTTCACACTGGCAAAGCCAGAAGTAGATGTTCCAAAGGACTGCAACACGGGCAAGGACGAATTCGTTCCAATAGCACGTAAAAGATACACTCGCGCGCACGCACGCACGCACACACACACACACACACACACACACACACACACACACACACACACACACACACACACACACACACACACACACACACACACACACACACACGCACGCACGCACGCACGCACGCACAGCTGACAATAGGAATGCATAGGGTTTCGATACATGTCATTTATGGTGGGAAGTGTTCGAGTTCTTCCATGTCTGTGGCGTCTGAATCACGCATGCGGAATCCTATATTCAAAGTCTTAGTGAACGAATGTGTAGCGTCATCTCACGAATCATGGATGAATTCGCGGGGTGACTTCTGACGTGAACCCAACGTCGCGTCTACCTGAAGGTTCGTGCGCTTCTACTTGGACCTGTGCGCCGCTGCAGCCGAGGAGGGCAAATCTGACGGAGACGACGCCCTTCACAGCCGAATCCTGCTGGAACCGACCGAGGACGTTGGACTGGTGAGTTCTTCCTTCACTCCAGCCTTGGCTTGGCTATAGGCCTGCGCAGTGCTCCTCTCCCACACGATCTAATAGAATGAAATAGTTCACTCGCGCTGATAAACGGATCGCGTTCGTAAATTCTTTCGAAGGTGGTGTCACAAGAGCGTTTGATGATCGATTATCGTCGGTATACTTCGGTAAACGGCATGACAGCGTGGCTGCTATACAACAGGTGGTATGGACGGAAGGCAGTCTCGCTATAGGCAGTCACGTGATTCTACGACAACGGCCATGCACACCTGTGTTTACTTCAGGAACTAAGAATCGAAGTCCGGTGGTTTCTTTGAAGTAATTAGGCACAATTCAGTGCTTTCTCATTTACACACACACAACAACACAAGCGTATACGTAAGAGCACACAACACAAACTGCACTCACTACGCACCGTTCATTGAGTGGCGTGAGTCCAATGCACGATGCACTTCTGCTGTGACCGATACGATTGATCATAACGAATGACAAGAACAACAAACTAGATTTTGCTTAAATCCACGCCTCAAAAACAAAGGAGATTGTCCTATGGTGTTGGTAAGGTTTACTTGTGCCATGAGCTTGCTTTTAAGGTTGCATCACTGGAAGGACCCACGTTGACATACGCTGTTGGTGACGCACCCACGAGTTAGTTATCAAGCTCAAGTGAACGGTTGGATGCGTTGGTAGGAAATAGCGAAAAAAAAATACAGCGCAAAAGAAAAACGGAGCACCACAAAAATCGAGACAGAAACGCAAGGTTTGACTTTCAACAAAGGTTAATTAGCCAACACAGCGCAAAGTATTTGCGTAGTCCAGTATCAGCGCAAACTATGCACATTGCGTGCATGACTATTTGAGAGGTAATAAATTTTCTTGCCTGAAACTAGCTCAGGCCGACCTCTCTGCCTTCTAATAAATTCTCACTCGCAATTCTTGCCTGAAAAGGCAACTTAATAAGACAAATGCTTGGGCTAGTTGGTGATCGGGAATCAACATATTTGCACAGCGCAAGACTATGAGTAGTTACGACGTAACTACAGAAGAAGAGACAAGGACAGAGAGAGCGCTGTAAATATGCTGAAAAGGCGATTGGAGGCCTTCTAAATTACTGGTGTTAACGAACTAATAAACCTTTATTGTACGTACGCTTTGTTGTTTGTGTCTCCTTTTTATTGGTGTTCCTATTTTCGCGCTATTTTTACTCCACCCTGCTCTTAAACCACGAGAGGCTCAGACACAACAGCTACCAACTCGTGCTTACACCAGCCACCACTTACTCTCTAAGTATCCCTCAAAGTACCATGACAAAAGGTCAATAGAGACATGTTTAATACTACTAGTAATAACATCTGGAGGTTTACGTGCCAAAACCACGATGTGGTTACGAGAGAAGTCTTTGTGGAGGACTCTGGACATTTCGACCATCTGTTGTTCTTTACCGTGCCGTCACATCGCACAGTATAAACGGGCCTCTACCACTTAGCCTCCATCGAAATACGACCGTCCAGGAGACACGTTTCCGAAAGACGTTTGCCTTCACCGGCAGTTCAGTTTCCCTTGCCCTTTTCAGATTAAGTAGCGAGCAAATGTTTTGAATATCTGTCGTGCACTTTTGTCTTTTGTGACCGCGTATTCAGCGAGCAAAAATCAGGCTCCCTGCCTCCACTGACGTAAAAAGTCGGTCTCGGACTCGTCAAAATAGCCTTACGTTTTATTTATACTCTTCACTCGGCTGTTCACGTTGCCTCCCCCCCCCCCCCCCCCCCCCGAAAGACCATTGCGTGTGGCCGCGCAGGCGATTCAGTTTGAACATTTCGTCACTTCGTTACCTTTTTCCTCCGCTTGGTGCCGCATCTCTCCGAGCTGCTTCTCTTTCTGTGACGCTTTCCGTCAAATTTACGACGCCGTTTGTGAGTGTGCGTCACCGACTACCGTACCGGGACGACAAACGCTTGGAACGAGGGTTTTTTTTCGTGACGAGGGGGATTTTTTTTGTTTTCTTGGAAGGGTCATCATCATTGTCAAGACTGCCGAATTTCCGTCCTTCGCCTGTGTTTATTTGTTCAAGTTTGCCAAGTCGTAGACAGTACCTCCCTTCGCACACCCCAGTCTGCTCCGACTGTTTATTTTGAAAGGAGCACTTCGCTTCGGGATGTTGGCGCAGTCACGTTGTCCTGCTGCTCAAGAGGCGTCATCATCGCCAAGACTGCCATTTCTTGCTCCGTTTCGATGACGCTTTGTTTGTTTTTACTTCGTTGGCTCGCGTGGGCAGCACACTTTATTTCGAAGGTACGTCGTTCCTTCAGTGTGCCGCTCTCCAATCTTTTTTTTTTCTTTTTGAAAGGTCATCTTCATCGCCACGACAATTCTTTCCTCGTTTCTAGTTTTCGCGCTTATGCCTATATCTCTCTCCAGCACTCCTCTTTCGCCCACCTGTCGTGAAAATTCTCTGTTCTCTTTATTCCTACGTTGAATTCTTTTTCTCAGGATGAGCATTCCGCTTACATTCCGAAAGTTCAAGTCCGTTGTCACGACCGTATGAGACCGCCATCTTTACCATTTTGGCTTGCTTAGCATTCTCGAGCACATCGTAACAGTGAAACGCTGTGTATGTGTTTGCCTCGGGCGGCTTTGCTGCTAGCTTGCGTGGACAGCGGCGTAGTAATCTGGTCACACCAAAAAACTGCTACGCTGCCTGTTAAGTGCTTGGTTTTGTGCCCCGAACACTGGACTACACCGAAAGTGCTTCTATTTTAAGCGCTCTTCTTTGTATTTCGAAAGCAGACCTGTCGAAATTCTTCCAAACGCATCCCTAGACAAAAGATAGACATGGTGGTGCCTCGGGCGTGCATTACTGTCTGGCAACAAGCACCCACTTTACTAAAATCCCTTCTTTCTGCTTTTTTTTTTTTTTTTAGATTCAGGGGAGTTAAATAAAGTGTCCATCGCCAAGGAAACCGATTGTGCCGCCAGATGGGGCAAATTGCCGATTTTCCCATTCTTCGCCGAGATTCGTTTCATTGCCTTTTGAACCATTGTTCATTTTTGTTCAGATATACCTTTATATGTTCAACTGTTACACTGAACGAATACTACGAGCAGTCAAATAACGTCGTTCTTGATGTTCGGCGATGTGTACTTGTTTGATTTCCAATTCTGTCTTTCCAGTCAATGGTGTTTCTTATTGCTGTCCTTTGCCTTCTATCTATCTATCTATCTATCTATCTATCTATCTATCTATCTATCTATCTATCTATCTATCTATCTATCTATCTATCTATCTATCTATCTATCTATCTATCTATCTATCTATCTATCTATCTATCTATCTATCTATCTATCTATCTATCTATCTATCTATCTATCTATCTATCTATCTATCTATCTATCTATCTATCTATCTATCTATCTATCTATCTATCTATCTATCTATCTATCTATCTATCTATCTATCTATCTATCTATCTATCTATCTATCTATCTATCTATCTATCTATCTATCTATCTATCTATCTATCTATCTATCTATCTATCTATCTATCTATCTATCTATCTATCTATCTATCTATCTATCTATCTATCTATCTATCTATCTATCTATCTATCTATCTATCTATCTATCTATCTATCTATCTATCTATCTATCTATCTATCTATCTATCTAATTTCTCAGTTGATTGATTCATTGATTGACTGAGTCCCATATCACGAAAAAAAGGCAGCATATCCACGGAGTGAATGATGGATAGTGGGGTGAAGCATCCATCCATTAATTCGTTCTTGCTTTCGTCCATCCATCCATGCGTGCGTCTGTGTGGCCGCTTGGCGTCCATCCGCCCGTCCGTGCGTGCGTCTGTTCGTGCGTCCGCACGTCCCTCTGTGCGTCCGTCCCGGATTTCGTCCATGCATCCGTTTCTGCGTCCATCCGTCCGTGCATCCGTCCATGTATCTGTCTGTGAGTCCGTTTGTCCACCTATTCAACACTCCAAGTACCCAAATCTAGCATCTTTTCATCATATATTCCTCACAAAGAAGCACCGCCATCCAGCGGACACTCCTCGGACTGAACGAGAGGAGGCAGACGCACACTTTCTTACGGCTTGCGCTTCGTGTCTACTTCCCACGTTTAACCACCTCGAGTTCACGGTATATACTAGTTCACTGTATTCATCGCACTGCGGCCCAACGCTCTCTAAACCTTTCTAAAACCTAGGAGGTAACGCCAAGCGTGTATAACATAGCAAGCCTTTCTTGTCAGATAGTGCTCAATCTACATGCCAATGGCTGCTAAGCGGGAATGAGAGACAGGAGAATTCGGCTTTTAGTTTACGCGCACGCTGCGAATTTTTTATTGTTCAACAACGCACAGAAGAAATCTCTCATCGGCACCACCTTGGAGGTCAAAATGTAAGACTGGTCACACACTACTACAACGGATACGAGGGACTAACGGGTGCCGCTATAAGGAGTTTCGCCCCTAAAACGCAGCTTTAGAAATGGGTTTGAGGTGCGGCATCACATGGAAGCCCGTGTTGAATCGTCGTTTTGCCAACCCTTACACGAAATGCTACATTTTCATGCCTCTGTAAAGATTGAGAGAGATAGAGAGACAAGCATTTATTTAGAGTTCTTGTTGGAATTAAGGAAGCCGGGGAGCCCGAGAAGCATGTTTCTTATCCCTCCTTACAATTACGAAGGGATGCTTGCTTTCTCCACGTAGTAGGCGTAGACTCTGCTTTCAACGTCTGGCCACGTAACGTGTGACACTTTCACATGACTGTGTTGGTTCCACATTGTTTTCATTTTATTCGTATGTATGTTCGTGAGCTGTACAGATATGACTGGTCTAAAGCATTGCTCTTGTGAGACACCACATTTGGTCGCCATGTCTTAAAATTTGAATGCAAAACAATATTTTCACAGAATCGCCGTCCAGATTATGGTCATTTTGGGGATCATCATCGACATGTTGGATTCATGAAACG